CCCCCCCTCCCCCCTTCCCCCATCCACTGACAGTCATCAGTCTGGAATGCAGGCCTGCAGTTAGTTCTTTTGTCAATTTTGTCAATTACTAGGCAGGTCCCTTCCCTCTCCCTCCCTTTACAGCAAGGGAGGGAGAAAAAAAATTCCCTGCTTGGTTTTTTAGAACAAGTAAAGCTACGACAGCACCCTAAAGAGAAAGGTGATGGTTTTGCCTCATCTAAGGAGAAGGGACAGGTGAAATGTTCCCCAAGAGGAGCTCTCAGTCTCCAGGAATTTTAACAAAAACCTGCTGCACAGGGCTCATGGGGGAACATCAAAACCCAGCCCACATGGGAAAATGCAAAGCCCTTTTTTTCTAAAACTTTAACATTAGGCAAACCTATATCTACCAACTGATGACAATTTTGATGCAGGAACAGATGTGACCCTGTGACCTCACATGGTATTTTAACACTCCAATGGCATGGGCCTTTCTGGGTCCAGCCAGGGCTTAAAAATTACTTTTGACTGGGATTTAGGTTTGGAAAGAAAATCCAAGAAAAGAAAGGAGGGGAAGTAGAAGAGTATGAATATGAAGGTTTGAGGGTCTGGTGGATGTCTCAGCTTAGCTCAGGCCACAGAAATCTCCCCTTTCTCTACCCCCTCTGCCGCGTAGCTCCACAGTCCCTTCATGTCTCTCCAGTCACCCCTTTGTATCTCCAGGGCTGTCACTGGGCAGCTCAACCCCATTCCAGGAGGGACTGTGGAAGGCAGAGTTGTAGTCAGGGAGACAAATCCATGTTTGTTCTCCACTGGAGCAGAAGCACCTGATCATTGCACACCCCCATAGCCTGAGCCGTGTGAGCACAGCAGGGTCTCTGCCCCTGTGTACCTGCGCATCCAGGGGAACATCGGCGTGGGCACAGAGAAGAGCACACCCGGAGTTGGATCAGGTGGTTTATGGACACAGAGGTTCCTTTTGACACAGGGGGATGGAGATGTCTTCACTCGAGGTGCTCACGTCTCCATGTACAATACAGGGAATAGATTTGATCTGGATTTATCCATCAGACATTGTCAATACATGTGCGAGTCACAAAGATGCTTTCAGATCAAGGCATCCAGAATACAATTCTGATGGGTCTGGGCCTGGTGGAAGGGCTGGATGTGGACATGCTGGCACGGCCAGGGTTTGTGGGGAGGTGTTGCCCTGACAAACCAAGTGAGACCAAGACCATCCCCGAGCATGACATTTGCAATGGCATGTGTTCCATCCCATCCACACAATAGTCAGTCAGGATCTATCAAACAGAACAAAACAGATGTCTCCACAAAATCTTCTGCTGCCATTCCCTTGGGATATGGAAGACAGGTGGGATGGCATTCTGGGGTAGTGAGGCAGTGGTTCTTTGGTGGTCGGGGAGCATTGAAGAATGGAGAGAATAGGCCATGATATCAGAAAGGGGCCCATGGCTCACAGGTGGGGCTGCACTGTGCCACTCCAGGGCATGTGTTCTTTGGTTTCCAGGGGCCATTCCAGAATGGAGAGGATAGGCCATGGCATCACAAAGAGTACCACAGCAGACATGGAACTGCATTCTGGGGGGATGTGGCATTAGTTCTTTGGTTGCCAGGGACCTTTCTGGAATGGAGTAGGATAGGCCATGATATAACAAAGGGGCCCATGGCACATGGGTTCGATTGCACTTTGGGGGCTTTTGGGCATTTGTTCTTTGGTTTTCAGGTATCATTCTTGGAATGGAGAGGATAGTCTGTGACATCACAAAAGGGTCCATGGCACATGGGTGGACCTGCACTGTGGAGGTGTGTTTAGCAAGCCAGAGGGAGAACAAGAAGGAAGAAAATCAGAAAGGTGATACCTTGGAGTTTTGATTTTTTAATTTTGTAGATTTTAGAAGTAGTTACATAGTAAATGTAGATTTTAAAGTAGCAGCACATTATCCCTTACCCTTTTACACAGTAAATACACATAGCAAACCCTGTTACCCATTCCCATATCAATTCCCTTAAATTCCATTAACCTGTTTAGTCTCATTTTCAAGGTAGAATTGTAGAAAACACCCTAAAATCTGCACAAGAAGATATAGCCATAGACGCAACAACCTTCAGACCTAGAGCTCTGGAAGGCCTCCAAGAACAGTATGTGCTCTGAGGAAGATGAAGAAGAAGGGGTCCCAAAACACCCCCAGACTCAATTCCCAAAAGGCATGTGGGGGGGGCAGAACCTGGGCAGTGGCCAGATGGGGATTGGATGAAAATCATTATAAAACTTGTAAACACCTGTATTCGGGAGCACGTGGTGGTGGTATTCCTGGAAGCCTGGGGGCTCATTAAAGCCTTTTGTATCCTTGTCTTACCTCCTACCTGATTTGGCCTGGAGTCTTTTTTCCTCCACAGCCTTTTAGGCAACAAAGGCCTGGGAAATGTCTAGATGACCTTGTATTGTTTTGTCTAAATCCTTGATTTACTGTGCAGGGACGGAGTTGAGCTCTCGGTTTGCAATTTACCGTGTGGGGGTGCAAATAAGGGTAACTTGAAACTCCAAGGTCTGTGTGTGTGGTGTCTGTGTGGCTGGCCGGTCTATGAGCATGGTTGATGTGTTACTTGCAGCTGTGTTCTGCCTTGATTTGCTTAACCACTCCCAGTTGAAAGTGAATGGTTTAAAACCCCTGAAACATTAGCAATAAAGTGATTTCTGTCCATCAAGCCAGAGGCCTGTGTGTCATTCCTTCACAGGTGTTGGTCCTCTGGTTTCCAGCTGTCTCAGTTTAAATTAGACACAGGTGTTTTGCTGAGGATGAGTTACGAGGAAGACCCAAACTCCTCCCTCTAAGCAATTGTAAATCCGAAATTAAGAGGCTCCAGTTGAGGGGGAAAAAAGTGTGGAAAAAGGAAAAATAACAGCCCTTTATTTAAAGATATATGTGTATTGGCAGGAACAACTAAAGAAAACAAGTAAAACACCCAAACAATACTCCTATACCCACAAATAATCCCCTTCAAAACAAACCAATAAACAAAGAAGGTAAACAGTTCATTTTTCACCCTTTGGTGCAATTCTAACAACAGTCAACAGGAGGAGCTGTTGGATCACTGGAAATGCAGAACCTGCAGTGCTTTGTGCCGGTCAGCAGAGGGCATTGTTGGATCACTGGTCATTGCCATGTGGGGAGACACCCTCCTGGGTGTATTGGAGAAACCAATTTTTTTTTCTCTCCCTCCTCTCTCTCCCCTTCCCCCCCCCCCCACTGGGGAAAGGGGAGAGAGAAAAAAAGGACATCAACAAAAAAAAAATCCTTCCCAACAGAAACTCACTCTGTTCTGCTGGCCAAATGGTGCGATATAGTTTTTCCCTCTCCCTTTGATGTTCACAAGAACTGCTGCCAAGAAAGAAACAAATGGGAAAGGAAAAAGGGAAAACCTCCCAAAACAGTTCCAAGCAGAATCCACAGCTGGCAGCCAGGCTGAGAACAAACCCACTCCGAGCTTCTACTCCGACCTTGTTCCAGCTTCAGCAGCCACCTGAACTCCTCTCCCCCATTTCCCAGGAGACAAGAGGAAAAAAAGTAAAAAGGAACTCCTCACCCTTCCCCAAAGACAAGATTCTGAGGGTCATTAACTAGGAATGTGGTCTTACCAGCCACTTCTTTTGTGTTACTTAACTGCCCATTCAACAACCCCTCCACACAACGGGCAGAGGAAAGGAAAAAATCCCTGCTTAGTTTCTAAGAACCAGCAAAACCATGACACCAGCGACCATTCTGGAATGGAGAGGATAGGTCTTGATATCACAAAGGGGCCCATGGCATATGGGAGTGACTGCACTATGACATTTTGTGACTCTGCTCCTCTGGGAACACAGATGGCCAATACAACAAAAATATAGAGGCAATCGTCACTTGGGGTGGTCTTTCTATCCCTTAGTTTTGGGGTCTCCCCCTCCAATTTTGGGGTCTCCTACTAATTTTGCCCCACCCCTCAATTCCAGGGTCCCCCCCAAATTTTGGAATCTCCCCCAGTTCTGGAGTTGCCCCCTAATTTTGGGCCCCACCCCCCCCAAATTTCTCCCTCAATTTTGGGAGGTGCCCCCCCACCCTTCATTTTGACCACGCCCCTAATTCAGACTTCCCCCTAATTTCCCCTCACACCCCAGCCCTCCTCCTGTAATTTCTCCTCTCTCCCCCCAAATTTTGTCCTCTCCCCAAAAAATTTGGGAAGTCCCCCTCCCCTGCTTCACCTCCTGGAAGAGCTGCTCGTTCTCTTCCCTGTAGGTCCCACCCCTCCCCCAATTTTGGGAGATTCCCTCTCCGGCCCAGGGGTCTCTGGGAGTCCCCCAAATTTTGGGGAGGGGTTTGGGGGGGCTCATCCTCGTCTAAGACAATGACAGGTTGGGGAGGGAGGGGCAGCCATGGAGGGAGAGGGGGCTTCGGGGGTTTGGGGCTTGAGACCCTCCTGGGCACCCCAAAAATGGAGGACAGTCACAGGGGAACCTGGAGGGAAAAAAGAGGGGGTCAGAGGTTGGGGACCCCCAAAATTCTGGGTTGGGAGACCCCAAAATCTCCTAAATCTCCCCAAATTCTTCTACCCCACTCAAAATCCTCAAATCTCCCCTAAATTTTCTTCCCCACCCCTGAAAATTCTCAAGTCCCCCAAATTTTCCACCCCCACTCCCAAAATCCCCCCAAACCTCCCAATTTCCCTCCCCACCCCTAAATCATCCCCAAACCCCCAAATTCACCTCCCCTGCCCCAAATCCCCGAATTCCCCTCCTCCACCTGCAAAATCCCCCCCAAATCTTCAAATCTACCCCAATTCCCCTCCCCCTACCTCAGAATCCTCCCAAATCCCCTCAAATTCTCCTCCCCCATCTCCGAAATCACCCCCAACCTCCCCAAATTCTGCTCTTACCCCTTCCTGCCCCCCAACCCCCCAAAATTCCCTGTCTCACCCCCAAAATCCTCCCAAATTTTGCTCTTCCCCCTCTGCCCCCCCAAATCCACCCCAATCCCTGCACTGTGCAGGACCAGAAGTGCTGTCCCACGCTGCCAGCCCGGCTGTGAGGGTGCCGCCATGACACTGTACATGGAGGAGGGAAAAAGGGGCGTGGTCACGGTCGGTGACCAATCGGGGAGCTGAGCTTCATCCAGAGATTCACGAGGACAGGGGTGGGCACCGCCATCTTAACGTCACACCCCCCTTTTTCCCCTCAGAGACCTCCCCCCGCCCATTTTAACCCTTCCACGTCCCCTTCTTACCCCCTTTCTTGCCCCCTCCCTGTTCCCCTCCCAGCCCCTCATGCCATGTCATCCTGGGAAAGTTGCTGGGAGAGGTGGCGCCGTGCAAGCACGGAGTTGGAAAACAAGATGGCAGCGCTACGGCAACCCTGAGGAGTCTGACAGGTATGGATCAAAATGACGGCTGCCACGCTGCTGTATAGGCGCAGCCAATCAGCAAGTGGGATTCTCCTTAAGCGGGAAGAGAGTGTAGCCATTTTGGGTACGGGTACGTGACAGCGGCAGCCAATCAACGCTGAGCATACATGACTTTTTATTGGGTTTTGCGTTTAAGAGCAAGGAATGGGTGGGGTGAGGGGCGGGGCTTCTCCCTTCCGGTTGGCCTGGGCAGTGCCGATCATGCACTCGTTCACCTTGGGGGAGGGAGGCTGGTGTGAGACCCCAAAACAGCCCCAAATCCCCCTGAAATCCCTGCTGTGAGGCCCCCAAATCCCCCCTGTGACCCCCGACACCCCAAAAATTTGTTCCATCACCCCCAACCCCCCAGACACCCCAAATTCCTATTGTGACATTCCAGACCCCCTAAGTCCCCCCAAAACTCTCCCAGGATCCCCCAAACCCCTCAAATCCCCCCAAACTCCCCCAACCCCCCAGGACTCCCCAAAGCCCCTCAAATCCCCTCCAAACCCCTCTGTGACCCCACCAAATCTTCCCTGATGCCCCTGTGACCCCCAAACCCCCTCAAATTTCCCAAAAACTCCTCAAACCCCCCTGAACCCCCCAAAACCCCCTCAAATCCCACCCAAACCTGCCCAAACCCCCCCAAATCCCCCTCAGGATCCCCTAAATGCCCCCCAAAACCCCTCAACCCCTCCAACCTCCTCCGAAACCCCCTCAACCCCCCCCCAAATCCCCTCCAAGTTTTGAGGGATGATTTGAAAGATTTTGAGGGAATTTTGCAGGATCTTGAGGGATTTGGGGGATTTGTAGGCAAATTTTCATGGATTTTAAGAAGCTTTTGAGGGATTCTTAATGTAATTTTAGGGGGTTTGGGTGGATTTCAGGGGGATTTTGAGTGGATTTTGGGTGGAATTTGAAGGATTTCAGATGAATTTTGAAGGATTTCAGCTCAGTTCTGAAGGATTTCCTGGGATTTGTTTGGATTTCAGGTGGATTTTGAGGGATTCTGAAAGATTTGGGGTTTTTTCAAGGTGTTTGGGTGGATTTGGGGCAGTTTTGGGTGGGTTTTGGTGATTCCCTCAGCCCACTCTGAGGCAACTTTCCTGTCTGGAGGGGGATTTTGAGTGGATTTTGGACAGATTTTGGGTGGAATTTGGACAGATCTTGAGTGGAATTTGAAGGATTTTCTATGAATTTCAACAGATTTCAGTTCAGTTCTGAAGGATTTTCTGGAATTTCATTGGATTTCAGGTGGATTTTGAGGGATTTGGGGGTTTCTTTGAGTGGATTTTCAACAGATTTTGGGTGGAATTTCAAGGATTTCAGATGAATTTCAAGGATTTCAGATGAATTTCAACAGATTTCAGCTCAGTTCTGAATTTGGTCGGATTTCAGGTGGATTTTGAGGGTTCTGGATGAATTTTCAGGGTTTTTTTTCAAGGGGCTAGGGTGGATTTGGGGCAGTTTTGGTGGTTCCCTCACCCCACTGTGGCACTGAGGTCGTTCTCTTGGCTTTACCGCTCCATGAGCTCCCTCTGGAGCTGCTCCAGGCGCTCTTGGAGCTGCTGATTTCCACATTCCAGGTGCTATTTGTGGCTCTCCAGCTCCTGCAACCGCTCCTGGGCTTTGCTCAGCTCCTCCCACAGTTCCCCCACTTGGTCCCGAAGGTCCCAGGGGGGCCATTTTTGGGAGGCAGGGGGCCCACACTGAGGGTTGGAGACATCAGGGATAGGGTTTGGGGACATTGGGGACAGTGGGGAGGGGCTTGGGGACACAAAGTGGGAATTGAAGACACTGGTGGGGGTCTTGGGGTCACCAGGGGGGAATTAGGGTGTCAAGAGGGAAAGTGGGGACATGAGGGGGGTCCTGGGGCCACTGTGGGGGGTCTTGGGGTGCCAAGGAGGGAACTGGGGACATGAGGGGGTTCTTGGGGCCACCAAAGAGGGTCTTGGGGCCACCAGGGGAGTCTTGGGGACACTGGGGGGGAATCTTGGGGACACAAGGGAAGGGATCTTGGGGACACAAGGGAAGGGGTCTTGGGGACACCAGGGGGGAATTGTGGCCACTGGGGGAGGTCTTGGGGACACCAGGAGAAAATTGGGGTGTCAAGAGGGGAACTGGTGACATGGGGGGGCACTGGGGACACTGGAGGGGATCTTGGGGACACAAGGGAGAAATTGGGGACACCAGGGGGGGCTCAGGACTCACCTGCTTGTGGTGCAACTGCAACAGTCAATGCCTTCTGAGGGAGACCTGGGGGGGAAAAGGAGACATTATGGGGGGACTTTGGGGTCTCACCCGCTTGTGGTACAGCCACAAAAGTCACTGTCTTTTTGGGGCAGCCTGGGGGAAGGGGACATTTTGGGGGAGTTTAACCCCCTCCCTCACCCCCACCAACCCCATTAACCCCTCAAATGTCCCCCAAACCCCTCCTTTTTCCCTTTAATCCCCTCCCCCCACAACTCCCTTTCGCAACCCCCTCAAAGCCCCCAAGACCCCCTTTAATCCCCCAAATGCACCCAAAGTCCCCCAAATTCCCCCAAACCCACTTGAACCCCCCAAATCCCCACTTTAACCCACCCCAGACCCCCTTTAACTCCCCCGGACCCCTTTAACTGCCCCAAATCCCCCCTTAAACCCCCTTTATCCCTGTTACCCCACCCCAAACACCCCCAAACCCCCCTCAAATACCTCTCTACCCCTCCAGACCCCTTTTAACATCCCAGTCCCCTTTAACTCCCCTAAATGCCCCTCGAACCGCCTCCAGACCCACTTTAACCCCCTAGACCATCTCTAAACCCCCAAACCCCTTAAAACCCCCCCAAAAACCCTCTTACCGTTCCTTTCCGCCGCCACTGCCCTGAGTGCCCTGAGGGGGCCCTGCGCGGGGCCCTTTCTCCGCTCGGGGCTGGACCGGGCCCCTTTCTGTGAGGGAACAACATCAGGCACCTCCGCGAGGGGTAAAACCTCACCCAAACCCACCCGGGAAGTTTAGCGCTTGCCGGGGCGGGTCCCGCCGCTGTCCCCTCAGCGTCAGGGCCCAACGGGGGCAGCTTGTCCCGGGCCTGCGGCACCGTGAGCGGCGACAGCGCCGGGAGGACTCCAGGCCCGGCCTCAAGCTCCACCACCATCTTGTGTCTCCCGCTCGCACCTTCGAACCGCCGCCCGCACTCGGGGAAACCGCGGGTCGGCCAATGGCTTGCCGGCCCTGAGGCGACAGCCCCGCCCCCTTAACGAATTGGCCAATGGGAGTGCGCAGATGGGGCTCGGGGTGCCAATGGGGAAACGTGAGCGGGGCTAAGGGGGAGGAGGGGTGACCTGCCGAGGCGAAACAGCCGCGGAGGGGGCGGAGTTTGGGGACAGCACACAGGGGCACAAGACCTATGCAAAGCAGCAGGAAGTAGGGGATGGGCAGTGACTCGAGAGATGTGCCACACCTGCATATCCTCATGTGAGCAGTGCAGAACCGGACTCAAGCGTCACCCTTTAGAACAACCCCCCTTACACAGAAGAGACAGAAAAGGGCTGTGGGACACGTGGCAGACAGACTATATTGCACCCTTTAGAAAATCTGAGGGAAAACAGTATGTGTTAGTAGGAATGGAAGTTAGGTCACGATTAGTGCAAGCAGAAGCTTTCATAGAATCAAAGAATCATAGAATAGATTGGGTTGGAAAAGACCTCCAAGATCATCAAGTCCAACCCCTGATCCAACTCCAATTACTATATCATGGCACTAAGGGCCATGTCTGAAATAGTTAATAAAGGCAAAGATAAATAATTTGCTAATCAAATTATCTTTGCAATGTTAGTGTTAGTGGTTAGTTTGAATTACAAATGTCAAACCACAATGTTATGTTACTATGGAAAGCTATATCTTACTATGTTAAACAAGTTCTGAATGTAAGTTTTAAATGTGCCTATAAAGATATGGATAAAAGGGGCATAGCCGAGCGGCACAGCCCCCGGCACAGCCTGTCGCAGCCGAGCCAGTAGCGGCAGAGCAGCCGTGGCAGCAAGCTGCCCGAGGGAGGAGCCAGCCCGAGGAAGGAGCCACTCGCCCTGCTTCGAGAGCAGCCGCTGCCATCTGAGGACCACCTCCATCTGGGACCTGCCACCCGGCATCCAGGCGCCGCCTAAAGGGGAGGGAATAGTGGCACATATAAAAGATCATTGCACGTTTTTGGCGGGAAGACCGTTGGTGGAACAGGAGTTTCCCCGGCTCTTCCAGCGCGCTGTTTTGTTTATTTGCCTTCAATAAATTTCTACAATATATTTAAAAGAAAAAATTTATATCTGGTCATTTGACTATAACAATTTGGTGCCGTGACTCGGATTTGGATCCCTGTGTGGTGGGATTCTCTCTCTCTGAGAGGGCGCCCCCGTCCCTGTTGGACGGCTCAGGGGAGACTCCTGCAGCACAGATTCCAAATATTCGACCGAAATTTTGAA